ATGGTTGCCATGGTAGACATGAAGTCCTGAGCCGCTCCCGATAAGGTGGCCTCGGCATGGACATTGAAGTCCACCAGCACAAGCAGCCGTTGGGACTCCAATGCCAGGTCTGAGATCACCCCCGCTAGCTCAGGCAGGGAGACTGTAGTGCAGCAAGGTGGACGGTACACTAACAGAATCCCTAATCTGTCCCGGTCACCCACCCTCAGGTGGACGCATTCAAAATTTGTTGACTGCGGGATGGGGGCCCTGGTCAGACGAATGGAGTCTCTATAGACCACTGCAACTCCGCCTCCCCGCCCTCCGGATCTCGGTTGGTGCTGCACAGAGAAGCCTGGTGGGCAAAGCTGGGTCAAATTTACACCTCCCGCTTCGTCCAACCAGGTCTCTGTGATGCACGCCAGATCTGCCCGTTCATCCAGGATTAAATCCTGGATGAAAGTTGTTTTACCATTGACAGATCTGGCGTTCAACAGCACCACTTTCAATTCGGAGGGACCGCCATCCTGGTTACACCAGCTTACCGTATCAGGAGACCGATTTGGAATTACTAATGTTGTTCCACGTTCCCTAGACCGAATTAAAGGTCTCCCTTTCCCGTATCTCCCCCTCCCCACCACGACTTCTATGGGGGCTCCCCGGTTAACGGAACCCTCTCCCTCCTCCATGACGCATTCAGTAGCCATAGTCTCAATCCATAGTTCATCATTGATTGTTTGGTATATTACAGCTTCGGATTGCCATAGTCTTGCCTTACATTCATTTCCCACTCCTGTTATGTTATACTCATGTCTTCCTGATCTACTCTGTTCCCTCTCCCTACCATAAGCAATTAGCAGCAAGATTAACAAATGCCAGGGAATGGGTAGCAACATGAATGGCGGCTGTTGAACACTAACAGGGGAGTTTCACTGGGGTTCTTAGAGTACAGATAGATGGTTGTAACGGCATTCACGATGGTACAAATAATTAAAGTGCAATAGCTTGTTAACTGGCTCTAAAGTGCTAAAATGAAGTGCGTCATGGAGGACTTAAATTCAACACTAGATGGTTAAATCTATTAAAGTGCTGAGGCTTAATAAGGTCAATAGACCACAGAGGTAGTAAATTAAAGTGCTGGTAGTAGATTAAAGTGCTGGTAGAGTAAAGTGCTAGAGTCACGCCAGATAACTATACACAGTACTTCTTAATAGTGCAGCAGTTATTTCTTAAAGCTCAATTCAGTCATTAAATATAGTTGTTGTTATACTGCGGTTGAAGACCCCCCTCCTCTCGGAGTTTAAATTGCTGTCCCAAAAGATGTATCAATGGGGTACTCCGCACAACACAATAAGAATAGTCAGCACAATCAAAGAAGATGGGCAGCACAATCACAAATTGTGTTACCTAGGGAAGACTCTGCTGCATAAGAAGTACTCCTTAAAGACTGTTGCTAAATGAAGAATTCTTTTGAGGATAAAGACAGAGACTGTTGAATTCCTGCACTGAAATCTGACTCCAGGAAAGGATG